GAATTCTGGAACCTTTAAAGATAAAAGCTTGTCTGAAAAAATGTTGGATAGTCATAGGAACTTAACAGTTAACGTACATGTGGGAAAACATTGCTTACGAATCCAGTGACAATATAAAACTAGTGCCTAGGTCGTGTAGCTGTATTTATAAGTTTATCCAACCAACGCGGTAAACTATAAAGGGGTTTTAACAACAAGAGAACAAGGAATATATGTCTGCCCACGTGCACTGTGACGTAATATGAGACGCGCGGTCGGTCCTTGTTCAGGCAGCTTGGCTCTGCTATACAGGTCTGTGTTAAATATACGGCTACTATGCGATTACTATACTGTTATGCGACTCAAGCTGGTTTTCATTAAATAGCCGGATTTCTTTAAACAGACTGACCGAGCTCGTCTAGTCCTACATGTGCTCCTTCATAAATATTATTAATACCGTAGTTTCCGGTGGTTGGTACGTCATGATATCTGTGGTTGAAAGCTCAGTTATCAATGTCCAAAAGATGTTAAAGATTGAACCTGTGGTCGTTACAAGCTTGCTACAATGGAATTTAAACAATTCAGTTGTCCGTGGAGATCATATCATGTTTGTTACGGTTGTAACTATTGCAACTATTCACAGTATCAGTAATATCATTATTCACTAGTTGATAGGATTCAGGTTATAAATGTCACCATTCAACTACAGTTGAATGTTGCATTCCTAGATTTAACGATATTTCACACTTCACAGTATAAACACATTGATACATAATCATTGATACATAAACACGTTGGATACATAATTGATAGCTTTTCTTGATATTGCTCTATAATTACATTTATATCTCTCCCGGCTATTGGTTCCGAGATTTGGTTGATCTTTGTTTTCTTGGGCGTCCTCCTTGAAGTCTTGTTGTTGTACATACATCTCCTGATTTATCCTGTATTTACCTGTTTATTTCATTTTCTGGCGTGAGCTGTCCGCCATGCTACGGTACGAGAAACAGCGGCAGTGCAAGATCCGGTTCTAAGAGATTTTTATGGTCGCGAAGAATCTCGCCAGGCTACACTGCGTCGGTGGGAGAACTATTTAGGTTCATGACATCTAACGCCCGCCCAATCATGGCAGCCCCATGACAATAGGTTGATGTCCGACCCGTTGTCCTTGGCCTATCTCGAGTCGTTGGGTCTAGGCGGAAACGCCGAAAGGGATGATGTTACCTTCTTGACTTAGACGTAATGGTAAATTCTTCTCAAAATCCTTAAATAAATGGGTAACCCCTAGTAATGTCTTTTCTAGCACTTTTAGATGTTGCAATGGTAGAGGTTGTCTCACTTGCAACAGTTTTAATCCTGTTAATATATTTAGGAGCAGTACTTTTAATAATGATTTTATCTTTGGACATACAAATTTTATATTTAATTGTAAAACTAATAATGTTATTTATGTTATTACCTGTTCTACCTGTAAAAAACAATATGTTGGAGAAACAACTCAACCACTTCATAAAAGAGTCAATGGCCACAGAAATTGTGTCAAAGCCAAATCATCCACATTTTTATATGAACATTTTAATATTCCTGGTCACGTCTTCTCAGATGCTTCCATACAGATTGTAGATTATGTTGATTCTGACAAGATCGGGTTATGAATTATTTTAGTGGACAGATTGCTCGATACAAACGTGGCAGAGGGAATGGAAAGAAGAAAGTTCAGCCTAAGAAGTCTCTGGATACCATAGAGTCTGATATTAACAGGCTGAAAGATAACATCTCTTCAGAACATTCCATATACAAAACATTAAAATGTTATAGCTTATCAGATTTAGACACTCTCTACTCTTTGAGTCAAAATAATTTAGGATTGATTTACAACGTATGTTCCTCTTTCTGTTCAACATTTTCCCCCAAATACCATCAGAACAAATCTGAATCCAGTAATAGAGAATTTATAATTGTTCCATTTAATTGCAAATTCATTGATAATCTTAACCTAAAATCTATTTTCTCTGACACTTCAGTCATTGATTTGCTTCCCATTTTGATTCAGTCTTTTACACCATTACAGATTTATTATGAGTAAAATGATCCTATAAGTCTTTCTATTTGTAACTATGCTTCATTCTTAAAGAAACTTTCTATTTCTGATATTAAATCTATTTTAGATAGTCCATGCGATTGCCACTCCTCCCCTTTCAATTATCCTCCTCGTGGACATGCAGTTACTGGTAATTTAGATATTGTTGATAATGTTGAACTTATGGAATTACTTTCCTACGGTTGTAAATACAGAATTCCCACATTTAAATCTCCAGATGAGATATATATGTCAGTTACCGAAGCTGTCGATAAATTTATAAAATCAAAAAGTAGAAAGTACTGTCAAAAAGAAGTAAAGTTCAGCGATTGGAAGGAAAAAGTGTTATCAATAGTTTCCAATCGTATTGAATATTACAAGAAAAACTTTCCTGAAACATTTGAAATAAAAGAAAACACACTGGAAAAAGATGATGTTAAAAGAAGTCTTAAATTGCTGAAAAGTAAATACATTATTTGCAGTATCGACAAAGCTTCTGGTAATTTTTCATTTATTTGTAAAAAGTTTTATGTAAAAACTCTTGTCAATGAAATGGGTTTTGATCCTAATACTCTAGAATGTATAGGTAATGATACATATAAACCCTGTAGCGAAGACGAGACTCATTATGTCAATAAAATATCTGAGAGTCTAAAGGAGAGATTTAATGTACAAGTTGAAGATAAAAACTTGCGACTAGCACGCATCTTCTGGAACCCTAAGCTTCATAAGAACCCTTACAAGGCGAGGTTCATTGCAGGTGCCCGTTTTTGCGTTACGAAACAACTTAACGTCCAAGTTAACTGTTGTCTGAAACTTTTGAGGAAATACTTCAAGAAATACTGCGAGGCAATCTACAACAACAGCGGGTATAAACATGTTTTGGAGCATAGATTCCTCAAGTGAATTCCTTGAAGCTATCAAAAATAGCGATGTTTATAATATACAAGTATATGATTTTACTACTCTTTATACCAGATTAGACTTGTTTGAAGTAGAGAATATGATTAATGAAGTTGTTGATTTAATATTTTCAGACCGTAATAGATATATTTGTATTTCTAAAAGAGACAGTAATACATGTTTCTTTTCCAATAAAACCTATGATTCTCATGCCTGCTTTAGTCAAGATGACCTAAAAGAGGCTGTTAAATTTATTATTTATAACACTTATGTCGTCTTCGATGGGATTGTATTCATACAAACCAAGGGTATTCCTATGGGTGGAAATTCAAGTTCCCCTATAGCTGATCTCACTGTTGGCAAAAAGGAATTTAATTATATGAAATGTTTACTTCAGGAAAAGAAAATGGGATTAGCAAAGATATTATCCAATAATAAACGATATGTTGACGATTTATCTATTATTAACTACCTTTACTTTCATAAATTGATTAAAGATATTTATCCTAATTCATTGGAGATGGAGCGAGCTGGTTCCAATAATAAAATCATTAACTACCTTGATTTAAATATTAATATTTCCACAGAAGGACTAGAAATATCAGTGTATAACAAAACTGATGATTTTAATTTTCATGTTGTATCCCTTACATTTCCTCACAGTAACATCCCAACCGAGGTTGGCTACAACGTTTTTTCAAGTCAAGTTCTTAGATATGGTAATGTTTGCACTAGATTGGATATCTTTACCTCCCATCTTCACAAAATATTCAAAATTCTAATTGATAGAGGATATAGCCGTGATAGACTGATTAAAGGCATTAAACGTTGTCTGAGGAAATATGATAACGTTTTCAGGAAGTTCGGTATTCTATATGACCGTAACATTATTAAAGAACTCCCCTGATATCTTTTGATTTATTGAAACACGGGTACTAACTCTGCTAAACTGAACAAATTCTGAAACTTAGGTGAATAAGTGTACAACGTGCTAAACCGAAGTTCAGACTGACCAGTGAAAATGGGCGAGCGTACCAAGTGTCATTTTAATTAGAAGTTTTAGTCAGTGATTTATTATTGAAGCTTGTAATTACAATATCTAATGCTCCTATAAATACTTTAATTAATTGTATGTCCCGTTTTTCTTTTTCCTTCCTCTTTTCCTTGTCATCCCCTTTAGTTTTAAGATTCTTGCTATAAATGGCTACAGCTAACACTATTAATGCTACTTGTACCAAACAACGAGTGGGAGGTGGATCGTTGGTATACCATTAAATCGATTTAACACCGCAATTCCAGTCGCAAGCCTGGGACCACTACTAGCATAGTCACAACATCTACAAAGCTGCCATATAGCCTGACTGACAATTTTCTCGACTGACTGACAATGTTTCTTCTTTTTCCCCATTTAGAATACAAAGATTAGTACATTTTAGCTTATGATTAATATTATATTTTCACCTATAGTTTACCTAGATTTAAAGACTCTCAATGTGAATCACATCGTTCAATGTTTTATAAAATAAAAACAACTTGATATTTGGTCACACCAGAGAAAAGTAAACCTTACTATTATATATATACCGAGTGTATGAAAAGAACAAGCCCCAAAGTTAGTAAATAACTAATAAGCAAGTATTAGCAAACAATGGTATGGTGTTGCAGCCTCCTGTATATACGTTTACACTGCAGTACATGGGTCATATTTACGCTGTTAAAAAAATCACTGCACCTAACTCTAACTATTCTAACTATTCTAACTATTCTAACTATTCTAACTATTCTAACTATTCTAACTATTCTAACTATTCTAACTATTCTAACCAGAAACGTAACTGAACTGGAAGATCAGATTTCTTTTAAAGTTAAAACAGCTGATTGCTAACTATTAACTGTAATTTCGAATCGCATTTTTGAACTTTTTGAACACGTGTAAGCTCTACACGTGATTTATCATGAATTGCTCTATGGTAGCAGGAACTCCTATTATGCCTTTCAAGAACACTAAAACTTTAGATAGTTTACAGTAAAATTGCAGCTGAAAAAGACGAGCTACTGGACGACATGAATCACGTTCGAGGAAAAGTAGAGGAGGTGGAAGCGGCAAATTTAGAGAACGAAACTAACTCTCAACTCTACAAAGAGCAACTCAATGTCAAGGTGGTTATATAACATAACTTTTATTTAAAATTTCCAATGTTTAATTAGTTTAATTAGTTTGAATTCCAGTACGATAATTACAAACTGAGTGCACTATCGGAACAAAATAAACTTAATGTTCGGATTAAAGTAAACTTAATGTTCGGAACAAATTAAACTTAATGTTCGGAACAAAGTAAACGTAATGTTCGGAACAAGGTAAACTTAATGTTCGGAACAAGGTAAACTTAATGTTCGGAACAAGGTAAACTTAATGTTCGGAACAAAGTAAACTTAATGTTCGGAACAAAGTAAACTTAATGTTCGGAAGATAGTAAACTTAATGTTCGGAACAAAGTAAACTTAATATTCGGAACAAAGTAAACTTAATGTTCGGAACAAAGTAAACTTAATGTTCGGAACAAAGTAAACTTGATGTTCGGAACAAAGTAAACTTAATGTTCGGAACAAAGTAAACTTAATATTCGGAACAAAGTAAACTTAATGTTCGGCCCTCACTTAGTCACTCCGGTTACTGTGATCCGGTAGTCTGTACTAAATCAGTAAACTGAGTACATACTAATTTCATTGATTGATTCGATTTAAACTTGAATCGATTAATAAAATGAAATAGACAGTGGAACTGTTTCGAGCCCGGTACTGGCTCATATCGGTAACGATTTTAGTCGCAGTTTGCGAAACATCGCCATAAATGAGTTAACTGGTACATATTCGCAGCTCGGCGGAAACTTTTGCCAATTACCGGATTACCCAAATTAATTTGATGGACATTTTACAGTCTGCCTCTCTCTCTCTCTCTCTCTCTCTCTCTCTCTCTCTCTCTCTCTCTCTCTCTCTCTCTCTCTCTCTCTCTCTCTCTCTCTCTCTCTCTCTCTCTCTCTCTCTCTCTCTCTCTCTCTCTCTCTCTCTCTCTCTCTCTCTCTCTCTCTCTCTCTCTCTCTCTCTCTCTCTCTCTCTCTCTCTCTCTCTCTCTTTATCTCTCTCTCTCTCTCTTTCTCTCTCTCTCTCTCTCTCTCTCTCTCTCTCTCTCTCTCTATCTCTCTCTATCTCTATCTATATCTCTCTCTATCTACTATCTATATCTCTATCTCTATCTCTCTCTCTCTCTCTCTATCTATATCTCTCTCTCTCTCTCTCTCTCTATCTCTCTCTATCTCTATCTATATCTCTCTCTATCTATATCTCTATCTCTATCTCTATCTATATCTCTCTCTCTATCTCTATCTATATCTATCTCTCTCTCTCTCTCTCTCTCTCTCTCTCTCTCTCTATCTCTCTCTATCTCTATCTATATTTCTCTCTATCTATATCTCTATCTCTATCTCTATCTATATCTCTCTCTCTCTATCTCTATCTATATCTATATATCTCTCTCTCTCTCTCTCTCTCTCTATATCTCTCTATCTCTATCTATATCTCTCTCTATCTATATCTCTATCTCTATCTCTATCTATATCTCTCTCTCTCTATCTCTATATATATCTATATATCTCTCTCTCTCTCTCTCTCTCTCTCTATATCTCTCTATCTCTATCTATATCTCTCTCTCTATCTATATCTCTATCTCTATCTCTATCTATATCTCTCTCTCTATCTCTATCTATATCTATATCTCTCTCTCTCTCTCTCTCTCTCTCTCCCTCTCTCTCTATCTCTCTCTCTATCTTCCTCTCTCTCTCCCGCTCATTTCGACACTTACTAATGGGTCACATGATGATTGATGAGTCACGTGACATACAAGTTCTGAGTTCGGAGAGTTGTATTTACCATTGCACGCCACAAAGCACACTGTTCGTATTGCTCATTAGAGATATGACTCCTTTGATATATTGAGCTGCCATAGTTCCTTTGAGTTCCTTTTAGTTCATTTGAGTGCAGTGCTGTGGAAGCTTATAAAAGTGTTACAGATCCTGTAATGTTCACATTATTAGAGTAGAGTGAATGTTACAGATCTCCCGCTCATCTCGACACTAACTTGGGCCTCAAAGATCTTTAAAGCCCTACACATTTTGAAAGCTTTTGTGTGATGCCTTGGAAGTAGGGGGACATTACCAAGCCTGCAGCTTAGTACTTAACGACTAATTCGTGGATTCGACTGTGTCTACTGTCTATGTTACTGTTTTCTAATCCGCCGGACTTTATTTGTTTCTTGATTAAATATCGATCCCTTTCTAGATGAATATTAAATACTAATAATTAAATTCTTAATAACGATCCTTAGACCGTAGCCTAGACAATTTGAAAGACACATCAAATCTGCGATTATACATGAAGAGTGCGGATTGAAACGAGGGTTAAAATGAGGCCTCACGGCCCTCATAAGCTCATACTAAATGGATTATACAAATACCAAGCTAGTTTTATTTAAATGCCCGGATTGTAGACCACTGACTAGAGTTTGAGTTGACGTAAACAACGTAAAGACAAAAAGGTCAAAAAGACTAAACAAGTCATAGGTCTATTTTAAGTTTTGCCGTTTGATTTCCAGTCATTGCCTTTTATTCAGGGTTTTGTATATGAATAATTTATATTCATTATTCATTCGTTCTCGATTAGTTTGAGAAGATTGAGTTGTATGGGCTGATCTCTCTTCACTTGATGATGGAGAGAAAGGATCGATATCTGGTCTTGACTCTTAACAATTGTAATTAGAGATTCTACCAGATAATTTTGACAGATCTTTGCCATGACAGCTTCACGCCAATCTTACTACTTACAATACGGCAAAAGCAATGAATAAGTATGTCCAATAATAAGTAACTCGGATTTCGAAGTACAATTTAGAATAAAAGAGTGCTGCTCTAATGACATGGAATCCTCTGACAGAGACCAGGTAACCTGGCACAGGTCCAACATAAAGATAAAGCTACTGACGTTTACAAGTTTTAAAATACAGTAAAACCCTGATTTACCGCGCCCCGATTTACTGAGGCTATTTCTTCCCTCTAATAGGGCTTAACATGCATAATGTGAACAAAAAGATTTACCGCAAAACCCGATTTACCGCGGTTGTTTCCTTCCCCAAACTCCGCAGTAAATAGAGGTTTTGATTTATAATACATAGGTTTTGATTTATAATACACTATTGCCTTTTTACAAAAGGGTGAAATGGAAAAAAATACACATTAAATGACAACCCAAGTACATGTAGAGTAACTAAATTATAACAAAAAGAGGCTATTGTTGCACAACGAGATGATTTAATGGTTCAAGACTAATAATAATGTACATGGATGTGCCATTTTTACCAATTGTTTCGATGGTTATGATTTGATAATTACTCGGTTAAAATTTAAAAAGCGTGCAAGTTGCAGAGTGCTCCAAGAACTTCACATCTTGTTTTAGGAAAAATCTCACTATAACATTATAAACATTGTCGTTCTTCAGAGTTTACTGATGATAGAATTTGTGAAAATAATAATTGGTGAATTTAATTTTGGTGAAAATCCACTGTTCGTGATTCTTGTAGATATTAAACTCGCCTCCTCAAATATAGAGAAGATATATTATATGGTGGCAGGGACATAGTGTTGCTCTATATAATAATGTGATATAGCATTCTCTTAACGTGTTGCCATGGTAACATCACTATTGTATTACTTACCTCCACGGCTTTGTCCGTTATTTTGGTTTAGGATTGCGAAGGCCTTGGTGCTGGACTCTAAATTTTTGGCCGTTTTTATATTACCACTTTGAGTTTAAAGCAGATTTTCTTGTCCGTACTGTTATACGTAGTCTTTAGTCTGATGTGGGACCATGTTATAATAATTAGTGTCAGTGCTTCTAAATAATTTCTTTACTTTATATTGAGGTTCAGCTATAATCCCGGAGTGATTATGTATTAATTGAGTATCTTGTGTTTAGGTGAGGTTTAGGTTAGTTATTATATAAGGGGTAACTTAATCGATACAGCTTGACAAAAATACTTTACTTAGCCAGTTGATCAGTCAGAATCTGTCAAAATCAATCAGAATCAATCAGATTATCTCCCTCTCCCTCTTTCCCTCTCCCTCTCCCTCTCCCTCTCCCTCTCCCTCTCCCTCTCCCTCTCCCTCTCCCTCTCCCTCTCCCTCTCCCTCTCCCTCTCCCTCTCCCTCTCCCTCTCCCTCTCCCTCTCCCTCTCCCTCTCCCTCTCTCCCTCTCTCTCTCTCTCTCTCTCTCTCTCTCTCTCTCTCTCTCTCTCTCTCTCTCTCTCTCTCTCTCTCTCTCTCTCTCTCTCTCTCCTCTCTCTCTCCCTCTCTCTCCCGCTCTCCCTCTCTCTTCTCTCTCTCTCTCTCTCTCTCTCTCTCTCTCTCTCTCTCTCTCTCTCTCTCTCTCTCTCTCTCTCTCTCTCTCTCTCTCTCTCTCTCTCTCTCTCTCTCTCTCTCTCTCTCTCTCTCTCTCTCTCTCTCTCTCTCTCTCTCTCTCTCTCTCTCTCTCTCTCTCTCTCTCTCTCTCTCTCTCTCTCTCTCTCTCTCTCTCTCTCTCTCTCTCTCTCTCTCTCTCTCTCTCTCTCTCTCTCTCTCTCTCTCTCTCTCTCTCTCTCTCTCTCTCTCTCTCTCTCTCTCTCTCTCTCTCTCTCTCTCTCTCTCTCTCTCTCTCTCTCTCTCTCTCTCTCTCTCTCTCTCTCTCTCTCTCTCTCTCTCTCTCTCTCTCTCTCTCTCTCTCTCTCTCTCTCTCTCTCTCTCTCTCTCTCTCTCTCTCTCTCTCTCTCTCTCTCTCTCTCTCTCTCTCTCTCTCTCTCTCTCTCTCTCTCTCTCTCTCTCTCTCTCTCTCTCTCTCTCTCTCTCTCTCTCTCTCTCTCTCTCTCTCTCTCTCTCTCTCTCTCTCTCTCTCTCTCTCTCTCTCTCTCTCTCTCTCTCTCTCCCGCTCATTTCGACACTAACTAATGGGTCACATGATGAGTCACGTGACATACAAGTTCGGAGTTCGGAGAGTTGTAATTACCATTGCACGCCACAAAGCACACTGTTCGTATTGCTCATTAGAGATATGACTCCTTCGATATATATTGAGCTGTCATAGTTCCTTTGAGTTCCTTGAACATTAGAGTGCAGTGCTGTGGAAGCTTATAAAAGTGTTACAGATCCTGTAATGTTCATAAATGTGGATGTGTGAGTGGCTCTTAATGTTCACATTATTAGAGTGAATGTGTGAGTGGGGTGGATGTGTGAGTGGGGTGCGATATAGTATATATAGTATAAACTCTTTTTTTGAAGTTGTTTTACATCTGAATGTTCATTGCTCACTTCGCTTGATTGTTTTGAGATGTTTTATGAATATAAACGACTGCCAGTTGATGTTTGTAGTCCGAATTTGTTGACTATTTTATTATGTATTTTATTAGTTTGTTGCCTAGATGTAGATTTCGTTTTGTTATTAGAAATGCAACCTTAACTTTGTTGAAGTATTCGTATTCATATAGATACAATAGACGTTGATTTAAGTGGGGAAGTGAGGCATATTTTTTGACACGTGACAGCAATTAACCAATCAGCTTCCACTATTGACCAATCAAATCCTAGAATGACTGTCACGCATCTAAAAATATGCCTCACCAGAATCCACATACATCGCTTGTGATGATCTTGTTTCCCTAAACTAAATGTTTCCCCAAACTAAATGATCTTGTTTCCCTAAACTCCTAAAATAAGAAAATAATAAAATTCTGAATCATCTTTTACAACAGTACAGAGTTCACTACTTGCGAGATGTGGTTATAAATGTGCAACTTTGCTTCATCTTTTATCTTAGATTGTCAGGTAAATCTACCAGGGTGTTGTTTAGTAGTATTTACAATTTGTTGTATTTTTAAACTCTGATTTTGGGGCTTAAGGGGGCAGGGGGGGGGGGATAAGCCGGATGGAATTTTGAGATAGGCCTTCAAAATTTTTTTATTCGATTTTGAAAATCTTGAATCATCAAAAAACGAGGTCCAAGATTTTCAAAATCGAATACAAAATTTTGAAGGCCTATCTCAAAATTCCATCCGGCTTATCTCTTCTAAATGGTCCCTAGAACATATCCTGAAAGTTTCAGAGTGATCGCTCAAAAAATGTAGGAGAAGATAGATTTTTAGAGTCGATTTTCAGGACGCGCGATCAAAAATCTCTTGCTCAATACAATTACACACAAGCGCTGACCTTTGACCGGCAATAATTTCGGCTAGGAACAATATTTTTCTATGGGATTAAAAGCCGCTGATAGACATCACTCCCCTCTATTAGAAACAACTAAAAAATCGATTTTGATAAAATAAAATTTCCATGAGGACCCCCCCTGCCCCCTTAATAGCAGCGATCCCGAGATATCAGGGTATTAGGTTACATGCCGGGTCCTTGAATAATGAACTTTGAGTTCAATTATAGGTGCTCGAAAAAGCATACAAATTTCAAAAGGGTATGAGTGATTTTAAGGGAGAACTAATAATGTAATGGTAAATAAAACTATTTTATGATCTTCCTGACATCTAGTGGCCGCATACGCCGCTCAAGATACAATATCTCTCTCTCTCTCTCTCTCTCTCTCTCTCTCTCTCTCTCTCTCTCTCTCTCTCTCTCTCTCTCTCTCTCTCTCTCTCTCTCTCTCTCTCTCTCTCTCTCTCTCCCTCTCCCGCCCCCTCGCCATCTCCCTCCCCCCTCTCTCTCTCTCTCTCTCTCTCTCTCTCTCTCTCTCTCTCTCTCTCTCTCTCTCTCTCTCTCTCTCTCTCTCTCTCTTTTTTTTTTCTTTTTTTTTCTCTCTCTCTCTCTCTCTGTATACGGCATAAGCCGCTCAAGATACAAGATCGTGCAAAACAAACCATCTCAATATGCATAGTACCGATCTAAAAGAAAAGGACAGATATTTTTGTGTCACGTGCACCTCATTTTGTGTCACGTGCACCTCATTACCCCTGGTTATTGGTTAAGCAGATCATATTATATAACCTGCGGTCCTGGATTTAACCAGTCTTTCACCGTGCCACTAACGATAATTTCATTGCTCTAAGATGACTTGTGCGCGATTAGGTTTTCAAGTTGGGACAACACAATGGTATGGGTTTGTCAGAGAATCGAGTCTTGTATCTTAGTGCTAAACGCTTTAGAAACAATTTATATCTTTAAAACCTTCATCTTTGGTACTCAAGCAACATGCCGGGCCTTAAATCCTTTAAAATATTTAGTCATAATCGAGTAACTAAGAGGAACAAGTTCTTTTGAATATAATACTTTCAACTTTCAACAACGTTCAATATATCGTTATCAAAAATGTGACGCAAGAAATAGTTGGCATAGGAAAAGAATTCCCAAATCACCCAAAATGCATGAAAAATATAATCTAATCAGAAATCTTTAAAGCAATCGCGCATGTTACTAGTCGCGTGTTTAACAGGATAGCTAACCTGTTATTTGCGTGGGGTTAGACACTTTAACAGAGGACACTTTAATGATGTTGTGGAGTTATACAGGGGACACCTGTTGTGGAGCTATTGTCTAAGATATTCTGGTGGAGAATCTGTGAAATGCGAGGAACTAATTCATTTGGGGCGATTTGTCATTATGAAATTCTATTTATATCATGATCACATAATACATAATATAAATATGCGAGTAATATCGATTATTAGCAATTTATGAATTTTAACTCAATACCGAAAGGCTATTCAAACTGGTCGCCTCTTTGGTTGATAAATTTCGTTAGTCAGCAAATGATAAAATGTGCCCATTGTGAAAGGATATTTTGACTTGGACTTGCTGAAACGTCGTGCCTTTAAATCCGACGACGTTAAAAAAGATTAGAGTAGTATCGCATAACTGCAGATGCGTCATATCACTACTCACGGCCTGACACTATTGTTCTCAAGATCAGTATCTCAGAGTCCTAAATAAGAGATAAAGAACAATGTTTAACAGCTGTCAGATAATGTGGTGGTGTGTCCAACACCGTGCTCTGTAGGGCTGTGATAACACGGTTTTAACCTTCATTTAAACGGTCTATGAAGGTGTGCCTTTTGAATAAAGATAAGAATAGGCGCCCACACCAGCTGGTGTGGGCGCCTATTCTTATCTTTATTCAAAAGATAAGATCTGTAATCTGTAAGAGATGAGTTAGATTATTTCAAGGATCTTCTTTACTTCTAAATATGTTGAACTGTGCTGGAACTGAGTTTGTAAGAAATGGGTTTATTTTCGACTTGTTACCTAATTGATTTATTTAGCTAATTAACTAATTACCTCTCAGAACGTGGTTATAGATAAGTTACGGAAGGAATTTACAGACCTGGGAGACGAGAATACCAGACTTAGAGCTCAGGTGAGTCACGTGCCAACTGAACCACGTGCCAACTGAACCACGTGCCAACTGAACCACGTGTCAACTGAACCACGTGTCAACTGAACCACGTGTCAACTGAACCACGTGTCAACTGAACCACGTGTCAACTGAACCACGTGTCAACTGAACCACGTGTCAACTGAACCACGTGTCAACTGAACCACGTGTCAACTGAACCACGTGTCAACTGAACCACGTGTCAACTGAACCACGTGTCAACTGAACCACGTGTAAACTGAACCACGTGTCAACTGAACCACGTGTCAACTGAACCACGTGCCAACTGAGCCACGTGTCAACTGAACCACGTGTCAACTGAACCACGTGTCAACTGAACCACGTGTCAACTGAACCACGTGTCAACTGAACCACGTGCCAACTGAACCACGTGCCAACTGAACCACGTGTCAACTGAACCACGTGTCAACTGAACCACGTGTCAACTGAACCACGTGTCAACTGAACCACGTGTCAACTAAACCACGTGCCAACTGAACCACGTGTCAACAGAACCATTAACACGTGACCGCGATTCTGGGTTTGATTGTTAGATTATTCAATACTGAAATCTGATTGGTCAATAGCTGTCACGTGCCAGAAGGTAACATAACCTCCTGTTACAGGTAAGTAAGTTCCAGGATAGCTCCGACAACCACGATGCTCTACTCAACTCAGCTAACGTCAACAACGAAGATATCACCAAGGACTTCCAGGTGATTAACAAGTTATTCTAGCGTATAATTAGCAACCAATTACCGTTTAATTAGCCACTAATTACCGTTTAATTAGCAACCAATTACTGTTTAATTAGCAACCACTTACCGTTTAATTAGCCAGTAATTTGTGCGATATTAGCAATTCATTGACTACTGATGAGTAATTAAAACCAATTAGTGACTACTGCAACTGTAGTCTGTAAAGGAATTAGTAATTGGGTTACATTTATCCGCCAAGACTAGGCTAAACTGCATCAAAAGCCCAACTATAATACGCTACATAACCGAAAAATATTCTCAATATAATAATGCTGCCAACATTGCATTTAGATACGGAACGTTTAAAGAGAAATATTACGTATTAAGTTCAAGTTTTGCTTTTTTATCGGAAACATTAGTCGCTATTTGGCAGAAACTCTGCCGTGCAGACTTTTCTTATGGGGCCGTAACGAATAATATAACTTTAAGTAAATTGTTTGAGCATTTTAGATTCGAAAGTGGGTAGTTTTGGAATTTGGATGATGCAAAAACACACTCAACATAGGTACATAGGTGCATTGCATCTATAGTAACAGAATAACAGGGTACGGTGATCCAAAAGTCCGGCCTCGCTTTCTTTCGTTTATTTGTAAACAGTGCAAGATAATTCATGTCTGTGAAGTTTTAATTAAAATTTAAAGGGGGTGTGGCAACCGTTCAGGAAAAGAATTGCGGGAAATATATGTGAAGATGAAAGTCGAGTGGAACCGTAGAGCTGAAACCGTTACAATACATACAATTACAGGCGTTACAATACATTCAATTTCAGGCGTTACAATACAGATGTTCGGAGACGGAACGTCGAGAACAGGAAGCCTTGCTCTACATAAAAGATTGTTTGAAGTTGGTTGAACAAACCCAACATGAGAAGGAACAGCTTGTTATTCAGGTAAATTGGAGAAGTTACCATGAAGTTGAGACCACATTCTTACTTCGCTCAGAATGTCATGATACAGTATTTAGTGTAGTTCGAGGATTCCTAATCCTCCTCACGTCCTAATGTGTACTACTCTTTATCTGATATGAGCATAACTGCAACTATAACTACTCTCGGTAGCGATACTAATGTGTACTACTCTTTATCTGATATGAGCATAACTGCAACTATTTTGTACTCTCGGTAGCGACTCTCGGTACTACTCTTTATCTGATATGAGCATAACTGCAACTATAACTACTCTCGGTAGCGACTCTCGGTACTACTCTTTATCTTATATGAGCATAACTGCAACTATAACTACTCTCGGTAATGTGTAATGTGTACTACTCTTTATCTGATATGAGCATAACTGCAACTATAACTACTCTCGGGGGGGGGGGGGGGGGCCCCTACGCTCGGTAGCGATAGTTTTCAAATAATTATTCCTCTAAATGTAAGCTTGATTGGTCGATCTTTTGCAAATGGTGACTTCATTTTGTTTATCATTTCATGTTCATGTTCCTTCGCATCAGTTGCTAGCATTTGCATTAATTTTAATTTTAAATGTTGTGTTCTGCAAAGTTATATTTAACATTTAAAGATTCTTAAAAACGAAATTATGAACATTTTGTAGTTATTGACAATAAAAGAGACGGATGTATTATTATGCCAAATTACTCATAACACAATGATAACACTGAAACATATTTTGAACAAACAGCTTAACAAAATATCATCTTTGTAGCTCAAAGAATAAATCCAAAAAAGTTGTTTATTGTACCCATTTTATTAAATATTATACTTATAGCGTAACGACTTAGGTGAGAAAATCTATAAACTGAGGAATTATTCACATTTTACGCAAGGGGGTTTGAAAAAGTTATTTAAATGTCACGCAAATAATAAAGATACCATGCACAAAGAGCTTAAAATAATCCACAGTCCTTGAAATTGTTTCAATACAGCGAACTTATTTTCTTCCGACTCGAGATCTGTAAAGACTCGACATAAAGCTTTCAATGTCAGTTCCAAGTTCTTCTTTTCTGTTCACATCGATTTGCATCAACTTTCCAGATACCTCAACCCATCTTGTGCCTGCAGGGTTATCTGCAGTCATTCCCTCGCGGTAAAAGATTTCATTAGCAGAATTTACGCCAACAACAAGGTCCGTTCCTGAGCTAATCCATTTCAGTTCTCCTGGAACCTGTATCCAGCCTGTTCCAGCAGTGTCGGCGTCACCGTACGTTCCCACTCGGTAGTAGATATCGTTTGCCAAAGTCACTTATAGAAAACCGAGTTCTCTTGGTATTTAGTGTATGCTAGTCAAGCTCTAGTCACGAAGCACGAACGGCAGGGCGTACCGTAAGGTAGAAATGAAACGAGTATATTAAAAAGGATAATTAATTAAAAGGAAAAGTAATACAAAGTGAACGTCAACAGATAAAAACTTCCAAGTGTTCGCTCCAATCAATTGACGTGACTAATCACAAATGGTAGTGCTCAGTAAGACTGGCTACCGTCAATTTGAATCCCTTAAAAATGATTAAGGGGCAACTAAGAAGTGAGCTCTCCACTTCCGGCTCTTCGGGTATACTCTCAAAACTTCGTCACGCCACACTGCGTGACAGCACAACGCATTTGCTTGTACCACGTGACACGCCGTCTCGCCAATGAGCACTCCACTAGCAGTCACCCTGTGTCCGCGAGGACCAACCACAGGTCTGGCTGTTAGTCAGGTGCAAAATGAGCGGACGGCTCGTTTCAGACAGTAGGTCTGACAGCAGGTCTGCCAGCCAACCGACTTACACTCAAAATGTGTAACTCCCAAATACGAACATATAAAAACATTGGTTAATATACCCGGAAATACATACTAAATTCTACGTCCCTTAAACGTTATACTAAAACTAAGATATCCTTAAAGATATCTCTAAATACCATATATATATATATATACTAATATACCATATAATATTACAACATCTCTACCCAAAAATTTTTTTCGAATACTTTAAAACAATAAAATAATCGCCCTATTCAAAAATTAAATTTTAATGCTCCCACGCATCAAAAGTCCAATACTTAAAAATAAGTCAAGTCTCAAAATAAAATACACGGCCCTAACCCTGTGCATTAAATTTAAATCCTCAAAATCCTAAAGTTAAAACTGAAATTGACTTCCACAAATCTTTCAAAACTTTCAAATACTTCCCTCTTTCACCAAGTTGTAGAGTCTTTGGTGTTGAGTCTTCATCATCTGATAGAGATGTATCCGAATCTCTAAATCGTTCTTGACAAGCAAACAAAGAAGTCAAACTAAAAACGAAAGTTTCTAACGTTTCCGTCACTAAAGCAGCCCTGAGCGAGTCGTGTTGAGAGTAAAGATCCTATTATCCCTATCAGTAATGTTCTGAAAGATAACACGTGTTAATCATAAGTTAAAACTGGTAGTGGTATACTCTGAATATTACGCAAAGATCTATCTACTAAATCTTGATACCAAGATTAACCACAGTTCCTGTGGTAGTCTACCGGCCTGAATTACCTCAGGTTTCTCCCCCTTGCTCACCCAACCGTAGACCTGGTTTAAGATATCATCATCCTTCTGAGCCTGTTTAATTTGCTCATGGGTAGGATTAAGAAATCTGACCCCTCTCTCTAGAGAGCTTACTGGTGCTTCACTAGTAACCGCTGAAACATTTTCCACTGCATCAACTGCTTCTGCAACTAGTGGTGTCTCCTCTATAGTATCAGCCTGAACTAGACTACAATTGCGACGGTTATCAATTTCAGGCGTAATCTGAACAATGTTTACTATGCTAGGGTCCTCACTATTTTCATCAAATAAGAACTCCGGAATAGTTCTCTCCTCAACACTCACTTCACTGCAGGATTCCTCAATCAAATTACTGCAATCATCCTTAACCACGGTCTCGCTGCTTACCGGCACTTGCATCCTCTTGAACAGGATGGTTATGGGTTTACTATCAATCTTATCCTGCAGGCATTTTACCAACTTAACTTCTATCCCAGAAGTATCCTCATTCTCTGCCTTCTTATACGTCTTCTTATCTGTACGATTACGCAATGAGTTAAGTACAACGACTATTCTAGACCGTGCACTATCAATCTTATTCTGCAAGCATTCTAAAGCTGCACGCAAGTATCTCAGCGTATTTTCTATCACGGCAGTATCATCGCCATCTGCCTTCAAATCATCTATCTCCTTCAAAACATTATTTATGCGAAACTGAACATCCTCTCTCTCCATAATCAACTCCGCCCACTCCAGTTCAGCTGTATTATTCTCACACATGCTAAAACCGTGTCTAAATGTAAAAAGGTACACTCACAAATAGATAGATAAGTACTGGAACTGGCGTATTCTTCACGTTGCTGGAAAATCTTCTAGTCAAGACTTTACTGTGCTTTACTGGAACTGTAACTTCTACGTCTATCACTCCTGAGTAGATGTACGAAACGTAAGGTTGCTAAACTTACGCAAATCTCACTAACAATCTAGGAAATAATGTACTGAAGTCTACAAGCGGCTGTAAACTCGGTGCTCGTCAAAACGATCGCACTCAACTGGAATATACAGGTACCACAAAATGTGTAGCAACACTTACCAAGTCTAGTAGGAAGTACTGAAGATCTCGAACAATCTCCACGTAATTCTTCTGCACTGCGATGTACACCGAACTTAGCTTATCAAATGAGAAACGTTAGGATCTTAAACGAAACTATACTGAATATAGGTGATACTAGAAGGATCACGAGCAAAAATAGCAACACTAAAAGTGGCCTCCAGATATAGAAAACGGAGTTCTCTTGGTATTTAGTGTATGCTAGTCAAGCTCTAGTCACGAAGCACGAACGGCAGGGCGTACCGTAAGGTAGAAATGAAACGAGTATATTAAAAAGGATAATTAATTAAAAGGAAAAGTAATACAAAGTGAACGTCAACAGATAAAAACTTCCAAGTGTTCGCTCTAATCGATTAACGTGATTATAGATCACACGACGTGTCAAATCACAACTGGTAGTGCTCAGTAAGACTGGCTACCGTTAATTCGAATCCCTTAAAGTGATTAAGGGGCAACTAAGAAGTCAGCTCTCCACTTCCGGCTCTTCGGGTATACTCTAAAAACTCGTCACGCCACACTGCGTGACGGCACAACGCATCTGCTTGTACCACGTGACACGCCGTCTCGCCAATGAGCACTCCACTAGCAGTCACGCTGTGGTCGCGAGGACCAACCACAGGCCTGGCTGTAAGTCAGGTGCAAAGTGAGCGGACGGCTCGTTCCAGACAGTTAGTCTAACAGTAGTTCTGCCAGCCAACCGACTTACACTCAAAATGTGTAACTCCCAAATACGAACATATAAAAACATTGGTTATTATATACCCGGAAATACATACTAAATTCTACGTCCCTTAAACGTTATACTAAAACTAAGATATCCTTAAAGATATCTCTAAATACCATATATATATATATACTAATATACCATATAATATTACAACACACTCCCCACACCCCAGATTCCCCGACACTGATTTGTTTGAGTGACCCGTCGATAGGCTGCCATGAGGAGCCAGTCCTTCTGAATATGTTCTGTCCTCTGTTCACTCCCCACACATGATCCTTGTTGCTCACATCTACGTTTGTCAGTTTTCCGGCGATCTGTTGCCATTTGTTGTCTCCCAAGTACTTGTAGATATCATCGGCTTTGGTGACCCCCCAAACCGATGCCCCAGATGAAACTTGTACCAATGATCTACCAGCGATTTTAGTCCAACTAAGCTGGTAGACGTTGTCATTCTTATCAACGCGCCACACTCCTGAGTCTCCTTTCGAGATCTTGGTGAGTCGTCCAGGAATATTCTGCCAAACTGAGTGGATTAATTATTAGGGAAAGGTGGCTTATAACAAAACAGCCAACATTGTAAACAAGGATACAAAATA